GTCGATTCATTAATGATTCGAATGAAAGTAATCAAAGTAAATCTTGTAAATTTTGTAAAAAATCTGGTCACGACATTTCCACTTGTTTCCGTCTTGAAGCCAAAAAATACAACGGAGGAAAACTCGAATGTGTCTCGCCAGATGAGCGCGGGGTCAGAGGCACTTCAAAAGCGTCTAGAGACATTGACTTCCGAGGAGGAAACCGAAAACGAGTACTAATCATGAGTGTGAAAGTAGAAAATTTAGACGATCTACCGTATATTATTGTAGGCAAAACAAAGATGTAATTATGATAATCGATTTGGGAGCTTCTCTGAACTTTCTCAAATTTAGCTATGTAAATGATCCCACGACAATTGATAAACGTAAAATTGTTAAATTGCACGGTATTGCAAATGTACCAATAACGACCCTCGGAAGAGTAAAAGTTAAATTATTTAATAAAGAGACTGTATGTCATGTGATTTCTGATACTTTAGGTATTCCGTATGCAGGTCTCGTAGGATCTCGATTTTTCGCAACTCATGAGGTAAAAATTGATTATAAAAATAAAGTGATGAAAGTAGATAATGTTAAATACCCATTTAAAAAAGCTCATAGAGTCGAGGATGGAGTGATGTATATTCCCCCCCGTAGTGAGTCAACCTTTTTCGTAAAAGTTAAAAATGAAAATATTGTCAAAGGTTATGTCCCAAAATTAAAAGCGTGTAAAGGCGTATTTTTGAGAGATTGTTTAGTCCGTGTTAATGATGGTCGTGCTTATATGCAGGTTTCTAATACGACTGAAAATGAAATGGGATTGAAAATTCCTACTTTATTTATACAGTCAGTAGGGAATATACATGATCCGAAAATTGATCAAGAAGAATTTTCGAATAGAGATTGTAAAATTGAAACTCAATCAGATATTAATGAACTAAATTTTGAAGATTTTAATACGAAAAAAATTTTGTCAATTGTTGAAGATTTTGAAAATGATAAAAGATTTAAGAATTATAAAGTTATTGTGATTAAGCCACATAGGCAAAGAAGAAAGAAAAAATGTCGGAAAAATTTTGAAAAAATATGCAGATCGGTTTCATATTTCAGGTAAACCATTAGGGTCAACAGATGTATACAATCATAGAATACCTACTTCTTCAAATATTCCAATGACAGTAAAACAATATCATACACCTCAGTTTTTAAAAATAGAAATTGAAAAGCAAATTAGAGAGGAACTCGGCACAAGCGTTATTAAGTCTTCTGAGTCTTCTTATAATAGTCCAGTTTAGATCGTGCCTAAAAAACCAGATTCGCAAGGTAATAACAGATGGCGAGTCGTTATGGATAACAGAAAATTAAATGAAACAGCCGTTACTGACGCTTATCCATTATCAAATATTACTGATGTTCTTGATCAATTAGGATGTATTTCTCTGTGTTTGATTTGGCTTTCGGATATCATTAGATTGAGATGGATCCAATGTATAGCTATAAAACGGAATTTTCAACGGAGTTCCAAAAGTAAATGGATTCGGTTTTGACTGGGTCAGAAGGTGTATCGATGTTTTTTTATTCAGATGATATCGTGATTTTCGCGCAAAATTTGGATGAGCATGAAAAAAGAATTGATGATGTAATGCAACGTTTACGTAAAGCTAATTTGCAATTATAACCAGATAAATGTGAATTTTTACGGACTGAAGTAAATTATCGGGGTCATAACATTAGTAATAAAGGGTTGAAACCTGATCTATCGAAATTAGATGCAGTAGAAAACTTTCCTGTACAGAAAACGCAAAAAAATATTAGAGCTTTTCTTGGTTTTACTGGATATTATAGAAGATTTTTTAAGAATTTTTCAAAAATTACAAAACCATTAACGCGTTTATTAGAAAAGAATAGAGATTTCGAATGGTCTCAAAAAGCACAGAGTGCTTTCGTGATAATAAAGGAAGCTTTATGGCTATTGGCTATTGTCCAAGCTGTTAAAAATTTTAGGCCTTACATATATGGGCATAAATTCACGTTAGTTACTGATCATAAACCATTGATCTGGTTCCAATCTGAAAAAGAAGCAAACGCGAGAATTCTTAAATGGCGTTTAAAATTAGCAGAATATAATCATGATGTTGTAAATCAACCGGGAAAAATTATTTTGAACGCGGATGCATTATCGCGGAATCCGGTAGAAATTGCAAATGTTACGACTCGTGCTCAAGCAAAAGTAGAAAAAGAAAAGAAAGATTGCTCTGATCTCGAATTGCAAATGAAGAATAAAGTCAATGATTTAAATGATTCATGAGGGAAATCGTCAAAGGAAAAAGAAAACGGCAATGTTATTCTCAAAAAGAAAAGGGGTAGGCCGCGTAAAGGAGTCGTAAACACGGATGGAGCTATGCTCAAGAAAAGAGGTAGCCCACCGAAAAAGGTGTTAGACTCTTAAGAACCTGATAATGTAAATACTCAAGGTATCTCTAGTGATGATGATACGAGATTCGCTGGTTCTGAAAATCCTCATGATTCTGACTCCGAGTCTGAAGTCGAGTCGGACAATGAATCGGATGATTCATTGGAGGATGTAGCTGTTGATAAACAAAAAATTAAGAAAAATAAGTCAAATACTATTTTATCAACAGAATTATTCCAGTGTAGAAAATATAATTTAGTTTATTTTGTTAATGAGAATGGACACCCTAGTGACAGGGGCTCTAAGAAATTAAAAGACCTTAATAAATTGCCTCTTATTGAATCTCCTAGAGTAGAAAGTATTTATTCATTCAAGGTTAATTGGAAAATTTATTTTGCATGTATAATTCAAGAATCAAAAGGAGAATCTATGATTCGCGTAAAAAGTCATTTGGGACAATGTTTAGTCAATTTAAAAGTCATGTTAAAAGAAAAGAATATTGAAACAGTTTCAGTTGCTTATTCACAGTATATAGAAAATATTCCTTGGGATGATGTTTTATCTATGATTAAAAGTATTTTTGAAAATGGAAGTATAAAAGTAATTATTTGTCTAGGAACTATTAAGCACGTTCCTTCGGATGAACGTAATAAAATTTTTGCTGAAGCACACTCTTCACCTATTGGTGGTCATAAAGGTGTGTCTGAAACATATAATCGATTAAAGCATAATTATTATTGGGAAGATTCAAAGGGCGACGTGCAACGTCTAATACAACAATGTTTATATTGTCAATTAAAAAAATTAACTCGTGTTAAAAATAGGCAACCGATGATTATTACGGATACTCCGGGTACAGTGTTTGAGAAAATTGCAATAGACATAGTAGGTCTGTTACCAGTTACATGATGTGGAGAAGAATATATCCTAACAATTCAGGATCAATTATCAAAGTATAGTGTTGCGATTCCACTTGAAAATATGACCGCGATTTCGGTTGCGGACGCATGTATTAAAAGATTTATTTGTGTGTTTCGAATTCCGTACGGAAAAAAGTCTAATGTGAAAAGATCAGGAGATCAATCTATATTGAGCCTAAAAGGAAGCTGAGATATTGTTGTGGACCTGGAAAATTATCTGAATGAGCAGAATCATAACAGAGTGGTCAACGAGCTGTAAGTCAACCAGCTCATTATTTCAATGTTCAACGACCAATGCCAGTTGATCGACGCTAGTAATTTTCGTGGATTTAATATTAATTGTAAAATAATTGTAGTTTTTTATTACCCTGTAGAGTCAGTGTGTGTGTGAAACGTGGGGCCAGTTGCTGAAGATAAAGATTCATCTATCATCAATTGTTCAAAGATCAAGTGAATTCAATGACGAGGTGTGAACGCACATCCGTAAGGCCATCGCGTATGTGTGTATGTGGGGTAGCCTTGAAGTAGAAAAGCTTATAAAAATACAGAATCTTGAATTTTAGCTGCCAAAGCGCTCTGAAAGTAGCTGTTCGTACTATACTTCAATTTGAATACTAAATGAATTGAATATTACAAATTTTTAAATGTCAAAGATTCTAGAAGCTCGATAGCATATTCTAGCGTTCATTACAGCCTTTGAATCATTATTGTCAACAAATTGGGAACCTTTAGACATTATTATAAAAATTACATTATTGTAACTTATAAAATTCGAGTTTATAAATTATTAGAAAACTAGTAACCTAACCCTTTAAGTACGAGCAACCTCAGTAAGATAAATTTTACCAATCGTGAGCTGAGGCATCTGACGCCCCTAGGAAATTATTTAGAGTTACACGGTGAATAAAACTATCTTTTTAATTACTTTTGTTTTCATACTTTTTTGTAATATCCGCGGTCAAAACATCCTAGGAAAGTATTCTCGGCAAAAATATCCATCTTAAAAAATATCCCCTCTCGAAATCCACTCTTATTAGATGAAACCATTTGGTTTTAAGCTTTAAACTCCCCCCCCCTCCCTCGCTACGACTACCACCACCTTATCGAGTGATATTTTGACCGCAAATATTATAAAAAGGGATAATAACAGCCGTCACCATCTTTTCAGGTACCAATTTGGCTTACACCCGTCAACTGAAAGTAATAACAGCTTTCCTGGCACGGTGTAGTTTCTTAATATTCTATAAATATTTATACAATTTATTTTGAAATTATTTATTTCAATACTTGTGCATAGATCGTGCAGTTACCTGAAATTAGAGGAACATATTGGAAACATTAAATTTTTTTTTTCCGCATCTGAAATGAGACAATAAATGACAAAATTAATTTGAAATAGACACTCCAGTAGTGAGTCACTCGATTATATATGCATGAAATAGAATAGAATGTAAACTTAAGTCTGCCACCAATTATCGATTACTCATTCATATTTATGACGATAGATTTATATCGAGCAGCTTAGCAAGTTTTGTAATTCTTTGGAATAGAAATAATAAATGATTAAAAACTTTTATTGCTTATCTTGAGAGAACTGACAAGCGTTAAATACTGTGGACATGAGAAGTACAATAAGATAACTTCCTATCCTCTGAAGTCAGTCTATTAACGACGGCTGTTCTGCGCAGTCGCGTTCCACCAAACGGCGAATTTCAACTGCGGAATAGTTGCTTGTAGTTATCAAAGTGTTTTCGGATTTAAATGATGTCGAATCTGGATTTCCACACAATAACATAAATCGAAGTAAGTTCAATATACAATTTTATAAGTAAATATACATTCCCTTATCTCCAATTTATAGCAAACGGTGTATTGATTTTTTGACTGAAAGTGTGTAGACATGGCGTCGAGAACTGAATTTGTCTCAGTAAAGATAAGGAAATGCTAATTTTTGATTAAATTTCGTAGCAGTCGATATTAAGTAAAATAATGTTAAGTACAAAATTGCTTTGCTTGTTTATATAATATAGACGTATTGTGTCTTTCCATATTTCGTTTTATAATAACTATTGATATACACAAACCACTTAAGATCTCCGTTTATATATTACAATCCTGATAAAATTTACTCATTCTTCACAGCATAAAAAATAATGTTACTGTAAAACTAGAGTCACTATTAGAGCATCCTAGATAGTTAAAACGGCTATATACGTTACTCAACAGTGACCAGTGACGTCGCACGTTCTAATTTCTAATTATAATATCACAATATCAACTTTATTCAATATAAATGTCACGTGATAATTGATTTTTACACTAAATCTAATAAAACAACACATTTGCCACTATAATGACGTAATATAGTTTTGGTTCAAAAATGAATAAGTTATTCTTATATTATTCAGCTCAGAAGATATCATGTTAGTATAGGTTCTAAGAATACTTAAATATATTCTTGATTGCATTGTCTTACTTATTTTCTATGATCATATTTCAAGCTTTATAAATTTAAACATGATTTTTCAAAAGATCACTGATCAGCAAGTGATCTTTTCAAGGGGCTGGCTGTATCAATACATGTTTTCAGCAGTGTCTCCGAGTCCGTCGGCAAATGCAATATAGTTTGGTTAGATCGTAAATCCTTGGTGTAAGATCAGCAAAGATTAGGCTTTCTGATGACTAGGGGTGTGTATTTGACATTTTTATAAGAAAGGATATGGTTTGGAATTCATGAATCCTTTGAATTTCTAAACAGACATAATTACATCAATTTTTGTAAAGTTACCAATAAGTATTAAATTTTAATAATAATAGTGAAGAAGAGCGGTATTAAAAGTCTCATTTCTAATTTATCTCAATAATTGGATCAAGCATTAGTTTAAATAGATTGAATTGAAAAATTTATGTAACGTTTAGACGAAGACAACCAAAAAAATATATAGTTAAACCTACAAGACCTAAAGCAGAATTTTAACAAATTACTACTTGTACTAACTAATACTTTTTATTGCATCAAATGTCAGTAGCCTAAGATCATTACCGACAGAACGCTGTTACATTTCATTTCACGACGAATTTAATCGATATATTCATTTCGTTCCGTTGCAGAGCAATTTTAATGGAAACAATCTACACCAGGAGCTTTTAGCCCCGCTCCTTTTTCTGGATATCTAAGTTTAATTTCTTGCTTCTATGACTGTTATTCCAGTTTGAGCAACCAAACAGAACACTTGGTAAAAAAAATGTACAAGATCATCTACTTGCATATATTGTAATACCTTGTATAACTTCAAAACAATATCTATGACGACAAGCTGTATTGAACATAAAATATTTTTGTTTTTTGAATATGGACAGGTATGACAGTAAACTGCAGCATGGAGTGGTAATGACCGGTGGACTCAATTTATTACATTCGGCGTTATATATATTACTTAGAGTTACTCGTGATTTTGCACTAGGATTCTACTTTTTATTTTTAATGGTAGATACACTCATCTTACATATGATTGTTTTGTCATAAATAATTTTTACTTTATAAAATGATTATAATTAGTTACTCCTATCTCACATTAATTAAAATGGCTGCAAATAATTGGTTTTGATACGCATTTGGATCGGTACATTCTTTTTGGAAATAAACTACATCACTTCGTGATTTTGACAGTTATTTTAGTTATTAATAATAGAAGTTTGAATTTTTGTGTGAATAAATAAGTTTTGAACAGATTAATTTTCTTTGGATAGTAAAGAGAATACCGATTCGATTTAATTTCAGATAAAAAAAAAACATTCCGATGAATGACACTACGGCTGATTCTACGGAAACAATTTATGAGGAGGGAGGAAAAATCTACACTAATTTGGTACCGCGACAACCACCAAAAAAAAGATTGTACAGGTAATAAAACTATATATAGAGTATAGTTAACAGCAATAGAACAATTATTATACTTTAATTTTTAATATACTCGGTTTTTAATTTATGTCTGCATATTCCAGTGAAACAGTTATCGAAGTATAGGAGCATTTAAGCTAATTTTACCGATGTCCCGAGATATAAGAACATTATTAAAGTTTGAAGGACAATAAGAAAGAAATATCTAAATATGAAAATTCTAACGAGAGACTTAATCTTAATGCATTAACTTGTGTTCCGTTACAAATATTTTAATAATGGGCCAATATTCAAACTTTTTAAATATTCCAAAACCCAACTAACAGTCAAATTTCATAGCCGAAATAGACATATTAAGGATGGAATATTGATAGATAATTCGATAAGTATTGATCCTTTGCTCATAGCTGAGAACAAGTTAAAGGTAGACAATAAACACGAATAGTGATGAAAAAAACGATATGATACATTTCTCTATAACTTTTTCAGACCATTTAGTGAACTGCATGATTACGAATGTAAAATATACCTAATGAATTTTTCGACAATTTCCCAGATTACCAGATGTGCCTCCACACATAGACAAATGTTCGAATAAAATATGTTTAGAAAAATATCCGAAAGATTTGAACGATCGAATCTGTAACTCATGCTTTGGAGATAATTCAAGGTAAAATAGTCAGTTAACATTCCATCAACATTTGCTCCAGTAGTGCGATTTACATAAAACCTCATACATTATTCATGCTCATTTCCAATTGTTTATTTTCAGACAAGTTATTGACAACATACACACCAAGTATAACGCGGTTATTGACAAACTGAAGTAAGTAATATATCAAATTGAAAGTTAAAAATTTACTTTAGGTGTAATCTAAGAGGTCCAAACGACTAATTTTTCTGCGAAAATTAAAAAAAAATTTAAAAAACGCTCAATTGTCTTAAAAGTAAATCCATAAATTATGAAAATCAGCTAGTTTGACTTTCTTTTAATCTTGTTCTCAGTAAAAAATATATAAAAATAAAAAAAATAAATATATAAAATAATAATAATATATATAAAAATATAGATATATAAAATAATAATAAAATAAATATATAAAATATGGATTCTACTCCAATTCAAATTAGGTTCAAGTTACATAACTATGCATGAAATAGAACTGGTACTGTGTCAATATTATTACTTGTTTTACAAATTGGAAAATCGCAAAATGAAACTCACTAGAACAAACTTCGTCAATTTAGCCTCATTCTTCGGAAGCTGGACAAATGGGACCATGAAAAAGCATTGGAAAAAAAGGGACTTGTTGAAAAACCAAGTTACCTTCCATTGAAAAATATGGAAGAATTTACAACACACAGCTATCACTCAGAATCTGAATTTTCTCAACTGGTAAGATGAGTTTCAAAAAATTCAATGCTTTTCGTATGCAACGTTTATGAAGATGAAATTCTCATATATAATTTCAAATAATATGAAAATTTGTTTTAGGTGGAATATTTTGTGTATTTGGGTGGAGCTAACATTAAAAAACAAATCAGCAATATGGTCAGCGCATGCATTACGCCAGAACTTGCAATCAAGATGAGCTTATCGAAGAGTAAGAAAGTTGGATTCCACAACTCTCAAATTACGGACGCTATTTACGGTATGATTTAAAACTTCTTCATTCTTCCAACGTTATTATTTTTTTTTTTTTATTAAATTCAATGGTAACTAAGATTTCAATTACATACTGTAGGCAAACTGTCTTAATCAGTTCTTTAATGCATTTTATTGTTATTGCCAGCTGCAACCCAGAGATGGAAAGTCGGAGGCAAGTTGACTCGAGAGTCCATGATGGTCATAATTAATCAAGCAGTTCGATCAATGAAAGAGCGACATCGTTATTATAATTGTAAATTACGTAAAGAAAAAAAACGTGCTAGACTTGGACTCACGAATAAAAAAACTCAACAAAACATTCTAAATATTTAAAAAATAACATCATTTTCCATAGATCACAGAAATTTTTATCTTTGTATACAGAAAGAAGTGATATGATAAAGTAAGTCAATAATATTGCTTTATTTATGTTTCTATAAATCAACCCGAGCTATTTTTAAATTTAGCTGATTCAGAGAGTTTAATGGCTTTGCATTAATTTAAGTCTCACTCAAATTTAACTTGTGCTTTATAGTTTTATTAATATGAAATCATAGTAAAACATAAATGAATCATCTAGTATTTGATGAATAGTCACGAAGTGCTGGAAAACCTTTGTTAGTCATAAAAAAAGATGTTCAATAAAGGGTAAATACATACTCCATTTTGATGTCTACTTATTTGCTGAGGATTTACTACTGCTATTCTCTTTACGATTCGGATTTTTTGATGCTAAGACATAATATCAGTTTTAGACAACTATTAATTTTCAGCAAAGAGTAAAAACCACACATCGGCATACATTCTTTAGTGAGAATATTATTTATGATTTTTGGAACTTGAATATTCATCAAGATAAATTATCGTGAATTTTCGAATCAGAAATATAGTAAGTGTTGTCTTCAACAGTGACATCAATATCACCTTAATTAGGTTAACATGAGGAGCAATTATCGTATTCTGGTGCAATTGTATGAGCCTTTCAACGAGAAAAGTTTTCACAGACACGCAATCTTACGACATCAGTCAATTATTTTTAAAATATATTCTCTTTAATAAATAAGACGAATACGTATAAATTGCAGACCACATGACTAGAGTTGAATATCCCACGTAGAAAAAATACATCATCAATTAAATGATTTATAATAAAGTGACATTCTACGGATAACATTTCAAAAACAAGGGGCATTATTCGATCGGCTAATTAGATTTTACTTCAGAGGTGGACGAGGTCTAATCATGAATTGTCTTTCCTATATATGAATACATTCGATTTCCTGAACATTTAATGGATCGAAAGAGTTTTGACTGTAACTTTATATTAATGAGGACGACTTAACTCATAGAAATAACTGCTATCTTGTCTTATCGCAACATTTCAGTCTAGAAATGTGCAAAGTTTGATCCTACATGAGTGGTTTCAATAAAATCGAGCAATGAATATGAATGTATTAAAATAATTATGTATGTTAAGGGATGATAATTAACTTCAAAAGTTAAAATCGCCTCTGGATTCCCTCAAAAGTTTATCTCATTTAAATGATGTCAATATGCTTAAAAATTAATTGTAATAAATTAGTTAATAAATTTTTTCGTCATTTTTTTGCATTCTAAAGTAAATACATACATGTTCAATGTACACACCTTTATTGGAGAAAAAATTATCTCTACCCATCTATCTGCAGTTCAAGTACCCTATTTGACACCTATACACTATCAACAAGTGTTTATTTCTGGGGTTATCTTCAACATTAACACGTTCAGGAATTGAGGCAAGTTACTCTGACGATTTTTAATTATATTTTTTATAAGTTTATTACGTAGTTAAACCTAAGCTGTCAACATTCTTATGTTTATGATCTACTTTGAACGGATTTTATCAGAATCATTAAAATTTCACAATCATAACTAGAATTCAGTCATTTTAAAAATATTTAGCTTGTGATCGTGAACTATACGACTTTATGCTAATTAATGGACATGTTTTTTCAATTACTTTTAGAAATTCTCTACCCATATTTTTTCTATATCATCAGTAGCTCCTTGCGGTGATTTTATAATTGTCATAAATTTTAAATTTAACCAAGTCATCGTAAAATTATCTAGAATTGTGTATTTGAATCACCCTGAAAAAATCTATGTTCTCTTTAATAAAAAAAACTCTGATTTACAAACAAGCTTTTATAATGTCGTTCCAACGATTATTAGCTAATAGCAGGCTCATATTCATAATCTACCGAAAATAATTAATTATGTTGATATGCAAGTTAGAAGAGCGTTCAGTCAGTTTCAATAAATACTATCACATTCAGTCAACCGAATACAAATTAAATCACACAAAAATTCAAATATATTACGCTATTTTATTTCTACCACAGAAAAATTACTCTATCACATTTAAGACTAGAATTGTCAAAACTGCTAATTCATTGTTCACTCATAAAACATTGTGTCTCTCTAACTCGATTGCACTCTGCACGTGTCTTACACAAGATGGTTATCTCTAACACTTATGCCAGTTGGCCTCAGAAAAGAAAATCCACTGTTAAATGTAAAACTCCAAACATCATAGACTCTATAATTGTGATAGTCTAGTAATAATAAGACAATAAATTGAAAATATACCTCAGATAATTCAACCTTATGTTATCACTACAAGAATCTAGACTCTACTTGTTGTCAACGAACACGAAGGGCGGTACTTAGACCCCCAAAACTCTCATTAGTTGTCAACTCTTATCTCATAAGTAAGAAAAATTCCTAAATTGGCACGTTATCGCTAACGATTCGCTCAGTGAGTCACTAGCCAGTGATTCGATCTCTGATTATATAAAAAGGTTTTGCGGGAAGAAAAGGGGCTCGTAGAAATTTTCTACAGCACTTACTCAAGAATTTTGAGTAGTGATGTCTTCTCACCAAGGTAGATCCGGGATCTTTCAAGAATTATAAACATGCAGGAAAACATTCAGTGTCTTGACTAAACAAATGTCATCATTAAGGATGACAATGGTTTACACTCGAGAAAGTACGTCTTCTACAAAGCATTAGACTATACTAGCTCTGCTCTACAATAAGAATAATTGCGCGGTACCAGTCATTGGACCCCAGGTAACCATTCAGTATATCTACCGTAAGACATGTATACTATGCTGTGTGAAATTTCTTCGGTATTATTCTTTAGAATCTGTCAGCTCGATCAATCGTATTTTTTTCTTTTTTTTAGCCCAAAAACTGTGCAAAGGATCATCTCGCTACACATCAATTAGATGCTACTTCATATTTTGCTCTTCTATTGTATCAGATTATCTACAAAACCGTAATGATTGAAAATATAACATAAAGAAAAGAATAAGGATTCATATCGTGCGAAATACCGTTTAAGTACTTTACAACATCCTCAAGTGCTCTAGTTTCAGGTAATACTATTTTTGCTGAATTCATCAAGTGTTTAGTACATCCCAAGCTAAAGTTGATGTCTATTGGAATAAGCTTACCTCTGATATGTTTGTGTAATCCACCTTCATTGTTAATATAGATATTAAAGCACTTTTAGCAACTTATTTCCGTTCTAACAATAGTAACCATCGATACATTCTTAAATTAAATGTTTTCTATCACTCGAATACTTTATATTAATATACTATTAAGTAATAAAAAAATTACCCTGAAAGTGTGTTGTTAACTGAGTACTGTGAAAAAAATGCAGCTTTACAAAACGTATAACATCGCTTACCCATCCATCGATGTCGATTTACTTTTATATTATTAAAGGGTAGGAAGTAAATAATTACTAGTACACACGAATTGATTTCCCAAGCTATGTATTTGCGGTTACGAAGATTTCATAGGTACAACTTCTTTGGGTTTACGATCAATGTCGTGGTGGCTTTAACAGAACAATGTCATCTAATCTGAAAATCAAATTCAATAGATATATTAAAGGTACTGGATTTGTATAAAATTTTGACGATCAAGTGAAGGTAATTTCCCAAGCTTTGTCAAATTGATAACTACAATCAATTTTAGAAGATATAATCGGACTCTTAAATAAGATTTGATCACGAATTTGATCTAAATTCGGACAAGCTGTAAGAATTGTGTACGAGTTAGGCATTAATTCGGAATTTACACGTAATGAAGGTTATGACCGTGAATAAAAATATTATCGAGATAAGTTACAGATTTTCTCAAAATGTATGGCTACGAAATTTTTGTGAATCATTCAAACCATTTAAACTAACAAAGTTAAGCTATAATCGTAGACAAAAAAAATATCGAAATATACAGAAGTAAGTTAATATAGCTGGCAGTTTTCTTTAGATTAGAATGAAATATGCATGCTTATATTATCACAAGAGCTGCTTACTTTCTGGCCTTTGTGGATATTTTAAATAATTGTCAAACATCCAAAACTTTTACCGTTACAGTTAAATGTTGCAAAATTAACAGATTCAAAAAGCTCAAATATTCAAAATCCGTCTACAGATCAATTTAGTTCGTAGACGAGGATAATCTGCGTCAAAAATAATGAATTTAGTTAATTAGTTAGTTAGTTAGTTAAATGAAATAAATTTGTCTGTCTGCGATTTTGGAAAAACTATTTCAAACTGAACTCGGAGGGTTATTCGCATATTGTTAAAACGTGAACGACCATTTTTAGAATCCTTGTCTGCCTGTCCGGAGTAAGTTCAAAAATGACTTTACTGATTCCAATAAAACTCTGCAAACATGCAGAGGGGAATGTTGAGAGTAGAGGATATTTTTTTTTACTGGAAAACCTTTACCAACAATGTGAAATCAATAGGGATAGACTATATTTCTGTGGATAACAATTGTATTTGTTGTAAACAAGCAAAAATTAGATTTCATGATGAAATTCGAATTTTTCAAGCAATCATTAATATATACGAAGTTATTACTGTTCTCTCAATTTCAACACAAAACAATACGCATCTGACTATGGGTCATTTAAACTACATACCTATTATTTAGAACGTTACTTAGTCAATCTATTATGATGTAACGTAGTTATGTCACATTGATCAGTTACGATGTACAAGAAATTTTTTTTATTTAGTTTAGAAAAAGAATGGTTTTAAATTTTTAAATGAACATTATTAATTATTTTTAATTATAAAAGACATAAGGTATTAAAAGAATTGACAACGAGAATAGTTGAATATGGCTTTATTTAGTTATTATTTCTACTAAAATACAATTTTATTTTCTACTAAAGCAAGATAAAAAGCCACTAAGTGGATAATTAATAGACATAGCATGCAAAAACATGATACAATATTGGCCGCACACTTAAGAATCTTTCTGTTGTAGATGTTTGACGGAGTGGCAGAAGTATCGACGATTCTCTCAAAGTCTCCTGAGGTGTTCTGGAATAATTGGTGGCAGTCCATAGCTGTCGAACTAGTAGCCGATGTCATCTCGATTGACGTACATGGCAACCCAGTGTTGCCCTGGTTGTTTGTGCCCATCGGTATTAACTACAAATGCTGTCGGTTTTGTCCACACCTTCGGAATCTTGTCTGCTGGGTATACGTCTTGGACCCCCGGGGTTGCATAGATGTCTCTGCTCTTAAGATATGTCGCGCAACAACGGGGGAAGATTATTGACCATAGTTCGTCGTTCCCTTTTTTGAAAGCAGATATTCGTAGCCCTGGTGGCTATATAGAAGTTACAATGGTTTGCGAGAACAGCTGTAACGGTGCTCACCTAGTTCAGTTATCAACATATCTCCAACAAATTTTTGGATTTTCACTTGAATATAAACCTGTGTTACTGCCGCTTCTAAACAGAACCCGGCCAGCAAACATATATGCGTCTATCCCGTATAGCTTATTCGTTTACACAGATATTTGTGAGAATTATGGAACAGATTGTACAGACGCCATTATTACGCATTGTGCCCTTTGACATGCATAATTATACATATGGTTCAATGCGAATAAAATTGTTTTCAACAATGCGCCACATCCCTTTTTTGAAAGCAGATATTCGTATATTAGAAATATATATAAGAAATGAATTTGGCCAAGTTATACCATTTGGACACGGCACGTTGACTGTAACGTTAAATTTCAAAAAACTAGAATGGATATGTATCAAGGAATTGCCTATAATATTCCACATGACGGGTTTGGGCGTAGTGGATACAGTGGTATAAGTCAAATTTACATTAGAACCTCCAATCAGCGCGGTCATGGCATAGGCAGTTTTTTAGGAGGCTTCTTTAGATCTGTACTGCCTTTTTTTAATAGTGTTCAATCAAGTTGATGTCTATTTCAATCAAGAATGTGTGTCACTGCCTAATAATTCATATGCTTATAGAGCATACATCGAAACACTTTTAAATTATGGTCGCGATGCAAAAAAATCTCATCTCAGTACTGTTGGCTGGTCTCAAGAGACACCTGGTAAAATCATAGGTTTCGTTGATAACAAAGCTTTGAACGGCGATCCAAAATTGAATCCTATCAATTTTCATCACTATAAAATTAATTATCTGTCCTTATATGTCAACGGTCGT